GCTTGCTGAATGCACAATAGAATATGTATCCAGCATTCTTCATTGAATTCATAACATCCGATTCGATCACCCATCACAAAACAACAATCAATCGGAATTCACCTTCAAGAACGACCGGATTTGCGGTCAACGATGCGATTTCATTGGCGTTCCCACCAAGACCATACTCTAAACCTTGATCTTCACCAATTTCTTTGTTGGACAGTCCTAGAGCTGGCACCGATGCACCTTGTTCAGGTAATTTGTCGGTATCAGGGAACAACTAAAAATGTCTTCTTTTTGCAATGATAACAGTTCAGTTTCTGAGAAAAAAACTGAACGAATGAACATCTGATAAAATTCTACGAAAATGAGTGCATGATATGGATGAATACCTTCTCGAAATTGCATTTCGAAAGGTTCGCTAAACTTCTCGCAAATGTTTTCGGTGCCCGAAATGCACGAAGAATCTTCTCCTCTGCACCCGACACAAAACAACTCCTCAAATGATTGCATTCGTGAATGAATGCAGCAGTAAATGTGAACAAAACAAATAAGCAAATTACGGTGTTTGTTCTCCGGAAACAAAATTATCCACCCAGTAAAATTGGTGAATATACTTTCTTGTTGAAGCTGTTTCTTATCACTACCGATCACCAGATTCAAACTTGTGAATTTTTCTGCACTGGCTAAATTGAATGCAAATAGATGAAACAGCAAAAGAATTTAGTAAATTTCAGACTGAGACTGTTAAATTTAATGAAACAACTAACGGTGACACAGAAGCCAGGCAAGCCAGATCATAACCGTGCACTTGCGGACGAGCGATTTCTGCGTATGAATCCTGGAAATCTCCATCAATAAAACAATTTTTCATGAAATACCAATTCCCATGAAATCTATCAATTTCGCTTGAAATTTTTACAGACCACAAATCACTCGTAGAATCATTCACAAAAAACTGATATAACTTCATTTCAAATTCTCAAATTTGTTATCTCCCGAGAGATGTATCTCATTTCCATGCACAATAACGTCGTTCTACGTAATGAAATGATACCGTATCCTTGTAGGGTGCAAAACAACGTGTGGTTTGATCGAGTGAACACGATAGCAGATAGGTTCCACTTGGATCCCAACAAACATCGCACACGGCCATCGAATGACCCCCAAAAAGTGGTCGCGACTCCCATAAATATCCCCCATCTCCTCCTTCTCCT